GTTTGTATTATCATTAACACAAGGGGTATTTATACTCTAGGAATATAAGAGTAGTGTACTACAAAGATAAGGAGACGTGAACAGTAAGCTAGCTTAAGATACAAGTAAAACACATCACTTACCCCTACTAACTATGACTTAGTGGTTTGAGATTAAAATCAATATTCATAAAACTCAACTTAAATAACAACAGTTGTTATAATTGATGTAACTTTATAAATTAATTAATTACCTTGTAGCTCATCAATGTGGTACAAGATAATTTTTAGGCCTAACAATGTATAGGCACACACATAGGCATAGGCGAATCACATGTCCACAAAAGGGCTAAATTACACGTTTGGTAACTCAAATTACATAAATATTTCACGTTTGCCATCCGAATTACTTTTCTTTCTTATTCGCCATTAACTTTACGAATCGTTTCACCCTAGCCACCGGTTGCCAGTTTCCGTCAACCTCCATTAACTCCGTCAGTTTTATGATGACATGGCAAACGGACTGCCGACTAGACCGTCAACATGTCAATTTAAAAAATAAAAAACAATTAATTAATTAACCCTGGCTCATCCTCTTCGTCAACGACTTTGACTCCAAAACTGTCTCCTCCACCGAGCTCATGTCCAAGCTCGTCGACCTCTGCGTTGAAGTCGCCGTTGAGCTCGGTGTCTGCTCCCCAATGGCGATCTTGATATAATTTTCTCTCTCCATTTTTTCTTTTTTTCATCACTTCCCCTGTTTTCCATTTCATCTCTCTGTTTTCTTAAAGCTCAGTGAGACAGGCATGGCAGCAGCTATCCATATGTACAATAGCAGCACCAACATAGCTTCTTCTTAATATTATTTTTTCAGATCCTTGTAGTGGAGAGCTGAACCTTTTATGAAACGTGCTTCTCCTTCTCCATATCCTTCACCTTCGCCTTCGTCTTCTTCGTTTCTTCTTCTTTTTATCCTAATTATCACTTCCCTAAATCTTAGTCGAGCTCTACCCATTTTTAACTAGGGTACTCGATGTACAACCACCAGATCTCCTACCCTTCCGCTTCCCTAGATCTAAACCAAATCCCCAGTCCCAAATGCTCTAGATCCAAGCTCAATTCCACCTCCAGCAGGCAAATCTCACCGCTCACAACAAACCTAGAGGTTCGGTAACTTTATGGACCCGAAGCCCATCCCGATGAAGCAATCCGCGGTGGCGGTGGTGGCTTCATCCAAGCCGGTGAAGCTTTACAAAGGGGAGTGAGGCAGCGCCACTAGTGGAAATGGGTTGCGGAGATCAAGTAGCCCAAGAACTGAACCAGGCTTTGGTTGGGTACCTTCGACACCGCTGAAGAAGTTGCTCTGGCTTACGATAAGACAATTTACAAGCTTAGAGGCGACTTTGCCCGACTCAATTTCCCCGACCTCTGCCATCAGGGATACAATTCTCTCTCTCCCTCTGTTTTCACCGGACTTTATTGAAACGACTGTATCGAGATTGCCGTTGGGATTTGGGAAGCGGACATCGGAGCTCGACGACGACTTCACCGCAGAGGTCGGCGAGCTTGGACATGATGTTGGTGTTGGGACTTTTAGGGACGAGGGTACACGTACGATAGCCCGAGACCGGGTGACCAGGATTATGATAGAGTCGTGAACTACGTTCACTTTCCGAAAAGAATATTTCCACCCTCAACAAGCCTAGGGTTACAGGAAATTTCTCTCGAGGATAAAACTATCACCACTTTAGGTTCCAGGCTTAAGTACCTAAAGCATACTTAGAAGTTTTCTTAGGAAGAAGAATCTGTTTTTGGTGTTGTGTGTGTCTATTCACCCATCACGTACCACCTGTATTTATAGTGTATGAATAGTTACCATTGAAAGATTGCAATCTTTCAACATTGCACTGGTCGGGAGTAACTGCCAATCCAACGTTTGGCAACCATTACTTCAATTCAAATGAAGCGTTGCTCCACCAAACGTTGCTCCACCAAACGTTGCCAATATAAATATGGGCATGCATTTCAAATTGAAACGTGCTATTCATGCATGCAATTAGGTAATCGTCCATTGAGATATGGACTTATTAAAGCAAGCTTTTCCATGAAAGAGATGTGCCCTTTGGTGGAAAATTGCCACTACCAAATGCAATGCACCCGGTTCATTGAATTTTTGGTTCACCCAAACTTCCATGCAACCAGCCCATTAGATTTTGGTTTAACCAAATTCCAACATTCCTCCCCCATTTTAGTGTATTCATAGAATTCACTAAAATCACAACATTCTTCCAACAAAACTTAAGCATAAATGAAAATGTCGTGACGATTGAATTTTCACCTTAGTATATTACACTTGACAAATATTCGAATACAAAGGGTGTCGATAACGATTGAACCCATTGACTCATATGAATATTCGAAGATAATATACACTTAAGTTTTCAAAACTTCATAAGCACCTTGACACTATTCTCCGCCATGTGTCCAATCCTTCTCATAAGCGCACACGAAACCAAAGTCCGGGTTTCTTGAAGCGGCTACACTTCATGCTTACGTAGGTTGAATCTCTTATTCATGTACCCGCATAATACACTTTTTCAAAGATTCAATTAAGAAGTTTGAACTTCATCCTCTTCTCTCATGCAGGATAACAAGCACATACCTCGGGATGACAAATTGTGTGCTTCAATTTCTGATAATAAGCTTTCCACATTGAATTCAGCCTCTAACGTTGTATTAGAGGGGAATTGGGTGTCCCATTACCAGAAATTATATGGACTTTAACCCATCCCTTTCACAGACTTGATCACCAAGTCACTAGTTAACCACTTCGTCAAATGATCAACCAAATTATTTCGAGTCTGGTCATACTGTCTAGACACAACACTGTGCATGATCAGTTCACAGCTTTTACCGTGTCATACTCCCACATGACCGTACTTATCATTTTCACTTGACTATATGACTTAGCCAAATTAGCATTACTATCACAAAAGATAGTAATAGGAGAGATTAGTTTAGGCCATAAATATATGTCATAAACCAAACCTCTCAACAATTATGTCTCTTCTCTAAGAGAAATCAAGGCCACACAAACTTTGATTCCATAGTGAAACTTAGTGATGCAAGTTTGCTTTCTAAAGGCCCAAATTATGGCACCTCTCCCAAGCAAGAGGACCCATCTCAATGTTGAAGTATCACCTTTAACATGAGAAATCCAACTAACATCAACAAATTCTTTCCAAAATTGATGGAAAACCACTATAAGTCAATACAGTGTACGATGACTTCATTACCAGAATCATCATAAATTGTGTACACATTTTGTCTTCTTGGTTTAAAATAACATAAACCACTAGACAAAATCACTTATCTTTGATTGGCCTCAAAGATAAATATGTCATCTACATACAAACACAACGACTCTATTGCCAGAATCATCAAACATTGTATATACAATTTTGTCTCCTTGGTTTAAAATAACATAAACCACTAGACAAAATCAAACCACCAAACAACTAGACAAATCAAACTTTGTCTAGAACTTCAAAACGTCAAATAGATAATTAGACAAATTAACCATTGAGTATGTGACCTACACAAAGGCAATTGTCATTCTTCTATTTCTCCATTTTACGAAGTCTTCTCCAATTCTTCCTCATCCTTGAAACACCCCTCTTCCAAATTACCTTCCGGATATGGAATACACCATGAGACTAGTACGAAGAAAACCCATCTTCTACTGCCATCGATGAAAAACTCATCATCGAACATTCTCATAATTCCATAAACCGGAACCGGTTTCTTGTAAAGAGCGGTTCGAGCCATCGTTCCGGAAAATTATTCTTTTCGATTGTTGGGACTTTTAGGGACGAGGGTACACGTACGATAGCCCGAGACCGGGTGACCAGGATTATGATAGAGTCGTGAACTACGTTCACTTTCCGAAAAGAATATTTCCACCCTCAACAAGCCTAGGGTTACAGGAAATTTCTCCCGAGGATAAAACTATCACCACTTTAGGTTCCAGGCTTAAGTACCTAAAGCATACTTAGAAGTTTTCTTAGGAAGAAGAATCTGTTTTTGGTGTTGTGTGTGTCTATTCACCCATCACGTACCACCTGTATTTATAGTGTATGAATAGTTGCCATTGAAAGATTGCAATCTTTCAACATTGCACTGGTCGGGAGTAACTGCCAATCCAACGTTTGGCAACCATTACTTCAATTCAAATGAAGCGTTGCTCCACCAAACGTTGCTCCACCAAACGTTGCCAATATATATATGGCCATGCATTTCAAATTGAAACGTGCTATTCATGCATGCAATTAGGTAATCGTCCATTGAGATATGGACTTATTAAAGCAAGCTTTTCCATGAAAGAGATGTGCCCTTTGGTGGAAAATTGCCACAACCAAATGCAATGCACCCGGTTCATTGAATTTTTGGTTCACCCAAACTTCCATGCAACCAGCCCATTAGATTTTGGTTTAACCAAATTCCAACAGTTGGTGAAGGAGAGAGTGGTGTTGTCGACATCGTTGACGGAGAGGACCCTGGTGGCCTGGTCGTCGAGCCGGCGTATTGTAGCTTGGTGTCTCCATGATGGGGTGGGAGGATCCGACCGCCATACCTGAAGAGGAACTTGACCGGCACCATTGTTGTTGTTTTGGCGGAATTTGCTCCGAGTAGTGGGATTCTACAGCAAAGAAGGAAGTTACGGTGGTCACTGCAGTCTGCGGCCACTCCGGTGTTAATTAATTATATTTTTTTTAATTGACAGTGTAGTCAACAATCTGTTTGCCGTATTATCATAAAACTGACGGAGTTAACGGAGTTTGACGGAAATTGACGGCCGGTGACAAGAATGAAACGATTCGTAAAGTTAATAACGAATAAAAAATAAAAGTAATTCGAATGACAAACATGAAATATTTTTGTAATTTGAGTGTTGTAATTTAGCCTCCACAAAAGATACAGAGTAGCGGTGTTTGACGTTAGTTTCTAAAAAAAGAAAAAAATGGTGTTTGACGTGGCGATAAGGGGGGCCAATGAGCTGCCTATCTCCAGATTACCATTAGTCCATTACCCGCCCTCTCATCAATATCTTCATCATCTATCGCGCCACCTCACCACACCAGCTTCTCCCGCTTCCATCGTCTGGATTTCATTTTACTTCTGCCTCCTCCTTCGCCTGCACAGCCCAACCACAGAGCCGCTTTCTCCCAAATCAAATGGCCTTTACTTCTCAAGCCCACAACTACAACTACCTCTCTTCCCTTCACCTCTCAGATGGAATAGCTACAACAAGGAGCGGAAGAAGGAGAGCTCCAACAGTTGCAGTTCGTTGTAAGATGGCAGGAACAACGACGGAGTACGAAGAGGGGCAGCTGGAAATGCCCAAATGGGCAGGCGAAACTCCCCTCTCTCGCCTAGTTGGTGCCATGGTTTCCTTCAAGCCTCTCTACTCTCTTCTCAAGCTCGGCGCCCGGCAAGTCCTCATCAGGTAATTTCTCAACTCACTCTCCTTCATATCACTGATTCCCATAGCATACAGACATTTGTTTTTTTTGTGTGTGTGTGTGTAATGTCTCTTACCTACCTTAGCGGTTCATGGGTAATCGATTGAACAGCACTGCCGAGAAGAAGAACATTCAATGGCGAGAAATGACAAGGAAGATTCTTCAATCCGATGTTCACAAGGAGATGGACACCATTCTCAACCCTTCCATCCAGTACCCTGATTGTAAAATTTCATCCCTTCCCACCTCTTTTGTCAATTATCTTCTCCCGGGTCTTCTCTGTATGTTTTAAGTCTTTTGCCTGAAACAAATTAGAATTGCCTTGTCTAACTGAATGCTGCTATGAAAATTGTTTACTTTGTAGATTACCTAAGTCCTTTCCATGCATATGATGAGGGCAATCTTTCATGGCTGGTGAGTGATGATCCATTACTTTGGAACATTTTATGTTTGATTTGTTATGGTTTCCGATCCTGCACCTGCTCATGAGTTGTGTGCTCGACCCATCACTTGTTACTTGCTAGGCTGCAGCAGAGGCAGAACCAGCAACCATGTCAATGGTGTTCCGAGCGGTACCCACTGCTTCCTCCGTAGAGGAAGCAAACGAAATCGTTCGTGGAAATTGGCTCCGTGCTATTGAGCAGCAGCATCAGCAATACTCCGACAATTCGACGATTAGGGACATCCTCGATGTTGGTTGCTCCGTAGGCGTCAGCACAAGATTCCTTGCTGACAAGTTTCCTTCGGCAAATGTGACAGTGAGTTAGACTTGTTCGATGAATTGGATCAGTTCATCAAACCTACCTTCGTGTTGTGTAAATGTGTATTGTGATTGTAGACCATCAATCGACATGGTTCCAGCTGCTTGTAATGGCTGGCTCTATGTAAAATGCATGCTGCAGGGGCTGGATCTCTCGCCTTATTTTCTCGCTGTAGCGCAATTCAAGGAGAAGAACAGCGGGCACCCAAGAAAGAACATAGTTGGATGGATCCATGCTAATGGAGAAAACACCGGCCTGCCTTCACAGTCATTTGACGTTGTATCCATTTCTCTTGTGGTATGCCTTCTTCTCTAAGATAACGCCTTATTGCCATATACATGAATTGTTTTAGCCTTTAGGAGATCTTAATGACATCCGATTCAAAATGTGCAGTTTCATGAATGCCCGGAAAGAGCAATAGTTGCCATAGTCAATGAAGCATTTAGGCTACTTCGACCCGGAGGAACCATTGCACTGATGGATCAAGCGGTAAGAAAGTGCAACGAACATTTGACTAGGTTGTCTTCTTATCCGATGTTCTGCTATTTGTCATGCTATGCTAATCCTGTTCATTATTGTTTGAAATTTGTGCAGCCCAAGTCAAAGACCCTCCAGGTATGGATGGTTCCCCTACTTTCCCAATTCCCACGGTTACTTCAGAAATTCAATATCTGTGTTCCTTGCTGGTTTGTTTGCCCACTTTGAGTTTGAGTCATGGAAGTATCTTAGGCCCATTTTCCGTGATGATGGTACTCAGGAACTGTCGCCGGTTTTGTTCACGCTGTTGAAGAGCACCGAGCCATATCTAGACGAGTTCTATCTGACTGATCTAAATGGAAGTCTGAAGGAAGCTGGATTCATCAACATTCAAACTGTTCTCACTGACTCTAGACATATGACGATGACAGCCACAGTGCCGCCTCGTTAGCAGGTATTCTATGTGTGATTGTCAGGTTGCTCCCCCTCTCCATTCGTGGGTTCTTGTTTCCATCATGGAATGATAAGCGGACTGTATAGGGTTCACCAAACTGATATGGTACAAAGGACTGACCTTTTCTTTGTACTTGTTTGATGTGCATCATTTTGGAAAGTTTTCATGGTCTCTGAATTGGAAGAAATAGCGGTGGACATAATTAATCAAATTCGAGACAAATTAGAGATGACCGGTTTTTCTTTCTTAACTTCTTAACAATCGTGACAGGTTCTTACTTTTGGGTGAATCATGAAAACTTTTCAAGAGGTTATCTATCTCTATACTCGTTTAGAGCATGCTTAATTTGAGAGATTTTATCAGAACTCATGAATTTAAAAAAATGTCAGTTTTCTATTAAATGTTGGATTATTCCTTAAACCTTAAATGACAAAGCACAAGATAGCTCCATTTGCCATAAGGAACAATCTAACATTAATTGACAAAAACACGTTTTAGGGTGAAATGTGTTAATAGAGACGAGAGGTTTAACGAGACGGATATAGAAATTGATGCTAAACAAGATTTACGTGGTTTTCTTGTTCGATTGTGTCGAACAAGACTAGTCCATAAGAGAAGGGTTTGTGTGTTCCTACAATCTGAGCTCAAGAACACGTTACATATATATTCAAGTTGGCTCTCACCTATCTATCCTAGCCAATGACAGTGACGTGAATGACAAGGCCAATGGACCGAGGACTGGAGAATCGGCCAAGGCCCGTTACACAAGAACTCATAACTCAACACCCTCCCCAAATTGATGGAGAGTTCTCATCATCAATTTGTCAGCTAAAAAGGTGTGACGACTATTAGAGAAAGCCTCTGTCAATAAGTTTGCTAGTTGGTCTTTAGAGGCAACATTCAAAAGAGACAGAAGTGTAACCATCTTGGCCACATAAGCGATATAAGAAACACCACACTCTTGCGTGAATCATTGAGGCATAAGCCAAACCTTGTAGCGACCCAAGAAGCCATTAGGATGAATCTTGAGAATATAAACCCACTTGCTGCCGACAACCAGGACCTGTGGCAGAGGATGAGGGATGAGAACCCAAGTATTGGTGGCATATAGGGTTGAGATCTCTTCAGTCATAGCACCTTCCCATTGCTGGTTACCCTGACCCTGTGAATATTTGATGGGAAAATAAATAGGATCCACCTAAAACAAACCATAATCCTGATGATATGAAGGCGGTTTACCCAGAGTAGTGTGCAGGAACCGACAAAGAGGTGGGGCCAGCGCAGGTGAAGGAGATGAAGTTGGAGAATCTAGCTTTGAGGATAATGTGGAAGATGAGGCCGGTAAGGTGGGGGAGAGGGCGGTGAGATGGGATCCATGGGATCATCGTCAACATCATCATCAAAGAAATAAGAAGACTTAAAGAAGTGTCAAAAGGGGAACTAACTTGGACGAATAAGAACAGAATATCGGATTCTATAAAAATACCACATTGTAGGATGTAAAATGATGCTAAAGAGCAAATTGTAACAGAGATAGCCTTATGAATATCACTATAGCCAAGAAACGCACATCGAACAACTTTAGAGGTTGACTTAGTACACTCAGATTGAGTAATAAGTACAAAAAAAGGCAACCAAAGACTCCTAAACGAGAGTAAGGGAGTTGTTTAGAAAAAAGTCGGTAATAAGGGCTCTCATGGCCAAAGATGGGAGGTAATCTGATAATTAATCTGACAAACAGCATTGGGATTAGGTTTAGCCAAAAAGAGGAAGGAAAATTTGATGTCAATAAAAGCACTCTAGTGACCTCTAAAACATGACTGTTTTTGCTCTCAACCAAACCATTTTGTGGTGAAATTCTAGGACACGATTTTTGAGTAATAATGCCAAAATACTGATACAAACTGAGAAGAGGAATAGAGTTAAACTCGCCACTAGGATTAGACCGGACTACACGAACCGTTCTATCAAATTTGGTTTGGATAATTTTTAAGAACTTAGTAGCCATAGATAAAGGGTCGGATTTAAGATGCAAAAAACATACCAACGTATAACGAGTGGCATAATCAACAAAAAAATGCAAAATATTTACAACCATGACGAGATGTAACAAAACTCAGACCCCAAAGATTAGTATGATCACATTAAATGGTTAAGATAATAGTAAGACTAGGAGAAAATGTAATACTCGTAGTCTTAGCCTCAACGCTACCAGTGCAACCTGATTCCCAAAAAATCGTTTCTTATAACCCCAAGCTGAGTCAAATGAAGATGACCCAACCTGGAATGCCATAACCGAAATGTGCGATCATTCTCTCCTCACTCTGAAAGAGGGTATTTTCTTTGTAAATTCGGTCAAATCCTTCCTAATCTGACTTGTAGTCGGTCTTAATCACCTTCTTGACGAAGTCACTTGGAGAGGAAGGTTCCTTGAAGCCTTAGGAGAGCGATGGCTCGACTCTATTTACACATCCCAATTGACGCCCAAGTATAACTGACGACCCGGTGTAGCATAGGGTAAGCAACCAATAAAATTTATCGAACCACGGGGATCTAGGCTTACCTTACTTCGGGTTAAGGTTTTGTTATCTACCCAACCTATAATAGTGATTAGGAAAACTAAACTGACTAACCTGGATAATGACACGCTAAAACACAAAACCAAACTGCGACCAAGTGTAATCGCAATCCGGAAATGCAGAATAGTGGCAAGTTCTATTTATCAATCCGGGGTCTAGATCTACTACCTACTCCGTGATTATCTATTATCTAGCAGACTAAGTTTGAATGTGATTTTAAGCTAAAGTAGTAAGAAAACAGGAAATGGTTCGAAGTTCTTAAGCAGGGGAAGAGTCACTCGGGAATGAGTCCCCCTAGCTCCTTAGTTAGGTCAAAGTTGTAATTACCTTTGGTTGATTTACTGTTGATTAAACTGCGGAAGATCCGACAGTAGCTTGGAATCTCTTAAGCTGACCAAGCCCTCTCAGACAGACTAACCGACATGCGACTAGCCTTCATCGGGATAGACTGCTGAGGCAATAAACATAGAACTTCACTACTGGAATTGGATTCCAGTAAAAAAAAATGAACCGATTAAATCTAGTATAACCAATTCACTACTACCGATTGATGAAGCTCTAACAACCTAATAAGATTTTTTCTATCTCAGGTTGCAGCAGAAATCAAGAGAATTTGATCAGGATATAATTGACTCAATAAACACACTTCAATCAATTATAATCAAACAGTATATCAATCCAAAAGTCATTACAACTCAAATCCCTAACACATGGAACTGGGGTTCTTCATACCCAAGTGAGAGAAAGGTCTACTCCATAGAGAGAGAGGAAAACAGAAATCAAAGCAGTCATACTCATAAAGATGGGAATAATCTGCTCTGGGATATCAATCTTCACTCTTGGGGATGCAATCTGGGTTTCAATGGTGAGAAATCCACTCCAAATAGCTCATAGGGTTTGTTATTCACACTTTCTCTCTCTAAAACTATGTTTTTGCTACAAAAATTCGAATCACTTTCCTTTGGCTCGAATCTGCCTAAAAAATCCGATTTTGGGCGAAATACGGGCAGAACTGCGGTCGTAATTCTTCCCTACCCGTATTTTGCCCAAAACGGGCGTTTTGGTTAAGTCTCGGCGCATCTAAGGCTCATCTCGACAATAAAAATACGGGCATGGGAGGGAAAAATACGGTCGTATTTCTCCTGCCCGTATTTCTTCCTCCGCTCCTGTTTAATGCTTCATTTCTCCCTCAACCGGACTCCGAATCAGTCACCGTTTGATCCCAGAAGCTTGTAGTCTCGTCCTCTTTCTTTTCATGACAAGATTCCATGATTATTTGTCTATAATATGAAGTAGAAATTCATTCTTCCTCAGGTAATGCTCGAGTTTCTTCTCCCGAATGACCAAACGATCTCCAAAAGACCCGAAACTTGCGCCTATGCATCCCTTTATTCGCTAGGACCTGAAATATGACAAAAACACAACCTAGCGTAAAATAGGCCCAGACACCACAAATTTGAGCCAAAACGGTTAAGAAATAAGAGTACAAACATGTGCAAATACGACGCTATCAACTAAGCACTAACCTAGCTAATTACAACTGGTGGAGCTCTCTTAGTTTGAATCCCCCTAGTTCTATCGTTTGGATCGATGTTGAGTACTATCCTAGCTAGAATTATGTTAATGTTTGTATGGATTGAATGATTTGTGTGTGGTTGTGTTATAATCCAAGTATTGAGGTATTTTCATGACGGTTGTGTTGTGTTTTCCATTTCAAACTCTTATGCCAATTTGACCTAGGTAGAGGGAAATCCCCTTCTTTCTAAGAGGCTTTTAAAAGCTGGAATTCCTTGGCGAAACTGAGTCACCTGCTTAAGTCGAATTAGGACAAACCTCATACTACGTGTTAGCACCTTGGGTAGGTTGTATTTTGGTTGTCCAGACTATGGTTCGAGGGAGAAGTCTAAGCAATCCTTAGTCGATTGGCCAAGAGAGCTACTTTGGTAGCTTGATTTGATATCCCTTGGCCTAGTGACCGAGAGAGTGAAGTTCGTTCACTTGTTGCACTTCCCTACGGTTTATAACTGCGTTTACCATACATTTGCATTCGGTTCAACAAATCGTGATTACTAGCTAAGAGGAGCAACAAACGAGTGAAACATTCTCAATTAGTGTTCAAAACCATTTACATTTCCAATTGCTTTTAATTATAGTCCATAGTTTTAACCAAAAATCGATTGCTATATTAATATTTCAAACAATTGAAATATGATTACATGTATCGACAGGGGTTTGACTTTTAAAACATACTTATCCTATATTACACCCGACTAATAGTCGGGATTTTAATTATGGTATTCAGGATGAGTCAGTATACAAACAACATAATAAAATATAAAAACCAATAATTACCAAACTGTGCCAGACCGGCCAGTAGAACTGGAAAAATAGGATGCCAATGCCTGAGTCCAGCGCAATTTTCCACGCCGGCCGGTATCGGCTGTGCAACTGGCATTAATGCGTCCAACTGGCAGGTTTTAGTCAAACCGCTAACATGTCATCCTCTTCGTTTATCATAAGTGATGTCCGCAGGAGAACAGAGAAGGAAGGGAGTTTGTGATTTCCTCCCTATGAACTTGGTGACAGGCTTCAGCATCGTAGTGCTCGCGGCCGCAACGTAGGTGGTGCAGATGGGGCATCTCAATCCTGTGAGTCGGAGTTATCGAACAGC